TATTATATAATTTCTCTGGGTACCACATATACATATGGAGAGATAACCCCCAAATTCTACAATTTTCCTTTCTCATCTTCTCCAAAGAACCTAGATGACCCACATCTAAGTTAGTGGGGTGAGATGGATTTGAAACAAGCCCACTGTACACCTGAATATACCTCGCCTTCTTCAAAGTAGCTCTTTCTGGAACTTGGAAAAGTCTTCCAACAGAGCGGTAATTCTTCCTTGATTTTTACAGAAAATCTCTCGGGGAAGCAATCCAGTCTCATGACCCTGTCCTCACATGTTGGCTTTCATTTCGACTGACAGTTCTCAACTTGACTGCTCACCCTACTCTCAACACTTGGCCCTGAGTAACTTCCAGCCACTTCCAAATAGCACAGTATTCCTTTAAAGATGGAGGTCTGAGGCTGGCTTGTAACTCAGTGGTTAAGGCAGCCAGATCCCACATGGCTATCAGCTGTTTGAATCCTATCCCCGGTAACTTGAAAAACACGCCGGGCACGTGCGTGTATGTGTCCAAAATCCCAACAGAGTGGAGAAGTGGAGGAGAGGTATCACTATGCCTCATTTGGGGTGATTTTCCCCTCCTCTTCTCTCTCTCTACTAAGTGCATGCAGCCTCTGGCAAATTAACAAGTAATTAAAAAAAAAAGATAAAGATGACAGTTTCTCCTCAGTGAAGATGCTCAAGAGAGTGAAGCTCATATTCCAAAGCCAATTCCCTGTGATGCGTCGAGCCTTGGAATGATCAGCAAGTGACATAGTCCCTCCCTCCTGGAGGTCCCTTTTCAAAGAGTCCCTTGTTGACTATGTTGAGGTATTTACTTTTTTTTGTTGGGGGGGAGGTTTTTGCTATAGGGTGCATGCGCTTGCCAGAAAGACAGAAAGAGACAGAGAGACAGAAAGTAAGAAATCACCCCTCAGGGGGGATGGTCCCACTGCAATCCCTCCTCCTCCGTTCTCCTCTTGGGATCTTGGGCACGCACGCACATGCGCCCGGCGTGAGTTTAAGCCACCAGGTCTGGGACTCAAACTGTGGTTAACTATTTGGGAGTCCAGCGACATAGCCTTTATGCCAACTGTTGTTCCCAAGGTATTTACTTTAAAAAAAAAAAACTTTAAAAAAATAATTATTTATTTTCAATTTTATTTACTCATTCTTTTTTTTTTTTAATTTTGACCAGAGAGACACAGAGGGGGGGGGTGTGAGAAAGCAAGTCACCAAGTCCAGTACTCGAACCATGGTCACCATGGGGGAGCGTCCAGCACCTTAACCATCACACCACCTGCTGGTCCTGAAGTGTTTACTTTAAAAAAACCACCTCTGCTGTATGATTATTACACATTCCCTTCTCTTTCTCTCCCTGGAGGGCTGCAAACTTTTCTCTATCCTTCTCCAGCCGTCCTCCACCATGCCTGCCGCCCCTTGGCCGCACTTCCCCAGCCCAACTCTCCTTCCTGCCCGCAATTAGGCAAAAGCCCAAGTAGCTGAATCTTCAAAATACTCTTCGATCGAAAGGTGGGCGGGAGACTTAATGGATCCTGGAAAACTGTCTCAGCATTTCTCATTCCCAAAAGGCCTTCTTTGGTTCTTAGGGCAAGATTGACTGTCTTAGCCAAACCCTTCTGGGGGTCCAAGGGACCCATTCCCATTGGTCAAGGCATCAAAACCCTTCCTGCAGGTGGGAGGAGGGACGAAGACCTGCCCTCCAGAGACCCATGCTGCCCACTGTTATCGAACACTAAACAGGCGCTCTAGACAGCCTCCAACTCCCCTTATCTTATCACAGCACTTTGAAATTTACAAGATACCCTTCCATGTGTCCTCTTGGACTCTTCTCCACTGTTCTACAGATGAGGAAACCGAGCCTCGGAGAAGTAAAGTGAAACACCCACATTGATAATGTTGCCAGTTAGACGTCCAAGCCAACTCTTTTGATTCTCCAACTCCTGCTTTTCTGAGTTGAACCGAAATCACACCTACCATAACCCCTCATTCCGATAGATATTTCCCTCAGACAGCCAACAGAGACCCTTAGCGACGCTAACATAATGTTAACCCAGCAATACATGCTGTCTTCCCATATCCACGCCCACACACTCAAACCCCCAACTCTAAATCTCTGCCCCCTGCACTAAGGTGTCTCTCTCTCATTGAATCAATCCCCTTCTTCCCCAGTGGCAGCCGAGGGTCAGTGGGAGTTTAGTGTCTTACAGAGGAGCATAATTCATATCTACTCCACCAAGAAGGCGACCTGGCAGGAAGGAGCCCCGTCCCCGGTGACTGTTCTGGGGGTTCCGCCCCCACCCTGGCCCTACCTGCCAAGAGCTGCATCCAGGCGCAGATCTTGTAGACCGTGGCGGTGTTGCAGAAGAAGAAGAGCGCAAAGCAGGTGATGCAGCCGAGGATCAGCACCATGGAGAGCAGCACGAAGAAGGCGGCCGCCTTGAAGGCGCTGGACGGGATGGTGCTGAAGTCGGTGAAGGAGCCCCGGCAGGTGAGCTCGCGGCCCGCCAGCCCGCTGCCCACGCAGTAGTGGAAGAGGCCGAAGTAGCCAGGCTTGGGGGTGCTCACGCTGTCGCCCACCCAGTAGGGCTGGATGAAGACCACCACGTTGATGATGGCGAAGCAGATGGTGAAGATGGCCCACAGCACGCCGATGGCCCGCGAGTTCCGCATGTAGTGCTCATGGTAGAGCTTGGAGGCCTCCTGCGAGGGCAGCATGGTGCCGGGGGCGGGGCCGGCGGCGGCGGCGGCGGGGGACGCACGCGAGAAGCGGCCTGAGTCAAGGAACTCGCGAGGGCGAGGTCTGGGACTGAGCTGGGGGTACCTGGGCTGGTGTGGAGCAGCAGGAGAGGGTCGTGTGAGTGCCGGGGTGGTGTCTGGGGGACTGGAAAAGATCTCTTTTGGGGAGCCTAGCCAGGGGCCATGTGAAAGTCGGGGGGCTGGGTTGAAGATGTGGGAGCTGGAAGCAGAGGGAACTGGAGAGTGGTCACGGGGGAGTTGGGGAGCGGGCTTGGGAGCTGGTATTGGGGCAGTCGGGGGAGTGGGGGAGGCACGGGGAGCCCGAAGGGAGGCTGGATGGGAGGATTAGCAGAGAGCCACACACAGGAGCTCAGCAAGGGAACTGGGGGCCGGGTAGTCGGGGCAGAGGGAGGTCTGCACTGGGTGTCTAGAGGGGGGCTATGGAGTGGGTGTGGGCGCCCCTGTGAAGGGAAAGAAGGGGAGAAGAGGGTCTGGCGCCAGGAGATTAGGATGGTGATAGTGGGGCCAGGGCAGAGAATGGGGGGCTGTTTGAAGGTCTAGGAAGGCAAAGTGTCGGGATTAGGATGAGGCTAGAGGGGAGTCCGGGGGCCGGGACCGCAGGGTCTGGACACGGGACGCGGGGGGTGGGGTGCCCCTCAGAAGCCAGGGCTGGATGTAGGCTGGTGGGGGAGCCCAGGGCTGGCGGGCCAGGGCTGGGAGAGGGGCTTTGCAGGCCGAGGGGACGAGGGGCCGGGGCTGGCATGCAGTCCGGGTCGCGAGGGGTAGGCGGTGGATAGGGACTGTCCCCGGGGCGCTGGGGAGCGGCCGGGCCCTGGTAGGGCCCAGGGTTTGGGGGAGCGGCTGCCCCGCGCCCAGGCCGGACGAGTGCAG